GGTTAACTGCTCAAAGATCAATGGGTCTTCTCGTGGGTGTAAATCACATTTCCTCCAGGTATTGCACTCGCTAAATTTGGTTTTCTCATTTTTGTGTTGGCTTCAATCTCTCTGGGTTTTCACATTTTAGTTGATACAACAATAAAAAAAACAACTCTCTCCTCTTCATATTGGATCTTTCTTGTTCCTACTGAAAAAATTCATGGATTTTAAGGCCCCCAAGCCGATAATATTTCAAGGGTCTTTACGGAGGCGTGTCCTTGTACGCGCTTTCATGCTTGCAGCTGCTTTGTCGATTGTTCCTTCGCTGCAAATGATTTCCGGGAGCGGTCCAGATATTTTGTATACCCTTTCTACCTCGGCAGGTTGTGCCATTAGACCCGGTTCTTCAAGCTCCAACGTTTTCCCCGGCAAGTTCTTGTTCTCCAAAGTTTGGGGTTCATTTGGATCGGTTCAATGTGAACAAAACATGAACTTGATAACCAGCGTGGTTAAAGAGTTAATGGAAAAGCAAATGTTGAGTTACACTGCAAAAGCTCTTTGTGTCGACGAAGGCTCAATGTCGGCTGTTATGGCATTGAGAGACTTGGGATTCTCTGATGTTACTGGGGTTTACATGCACCCCTTTTCTCTTAAGCATAAGAAATTTACTCATGACCTCGATTATCATGACAATTCTTATGATTTTGTGATATCTAGGGACCGCAATAAGGTTTCGGGCCCTGCTATTCTTGTGCTTGAGAATGAACGTGTTTTAAAGCCCGGTGGAATAGGGTCCATGCTTGTCGGTCCGAGTGGTTTGGACCCTACTAGCTTGATACGGTCTGTTACCCCTGTTTCTTCCTTACTGAAAGCTTCCACTGTTGTTCATGTTGATTATGTGGATAACTTCACATTGATTGTATTCAAGAAGAAACTTGAAAACGCCTCTTACTTCGAGCAGTATCGGCTTCCGGCCGATTGTCCGTCTATGGCAAACAGCGAAGATATATTAGATAACATCGAGCCTCTTTCGGAGGAGAAGCCAGTTTGGTTTGGAACAAGTATTGCTTATTTGCCTTGTTATGATTCTAATCATATTTGTGTTAAGCAGATATGCTAGCACAGGAAACACAAACAAATGGGGAACGAAAGCTTGAGAGAGAAGAGTAAGAAAGAGAGGCCGTACTCTCACAATCTTTATTGATGAAAAACCTGTAATATCTCTAAAGAGACCAGGTGGTATTATACAAAGTGGTATGAATAAGTTGAAACTAGTATTCTAACAACCTCTCCTAACTCACTCAATCCACAACCACTTGATTAACGATGCAGTTTACACAACAGAAACTTAACCTGCACTCGTTGGAAAGGAAAGCAACTACATTCTAATATTCATAACATTCACTTTACTTTGTCCAGCTTCTTGCCCTTGAAGTAGCTTCACCCTACTTCGAATATTCATTACATGCCTGAGTTCGTCAACATATCTGATAAGCAAGGTTTGGTGTATATTGATATTGGAGCGAGCATTAGAACTCTGATGTCACAGATTGGTTCTTGCCGTCGTATCCCGTGGATCGCAAGGCGTTCGGCGTTTATTTTGTGGATGATAATACTTCGGTGATGCTAACCCTGGTATCAACTTTGTTTACTACCCAGGACTTGCTAGAAATGGAACTACAGGAAGTAAGACTGTTACCGAGTCCGATATTATAGATGACTTGGATCCGTTTGTTGTAAATGAAGGATTCGATTTCCTTCTCTTTGTTAAAGAAACAGTCCAACATGCATACTTTGTGGTTTTGAAGATGAATGCAGGGGAAGTGGGAAATGCTCTCAGGTTGCTTTGTGTGTTTGAGCAGCAGAATAAGCGACCACTAAAGTCTTTAGTTTGCTTGAATAAAAGATGCACGTACTGTGTTCTTATGTTTGGTTCATATTAGTTATACATGAACATAATGAGTCTAAAATATAATAGGTAAAATTAACTTGATAGAAATCAATTGTAGCCGAAAAATTTATCAACAACGTAACTTTTTAAAGTAATATGAATAATATTTTAAATTAAAATTAATTTTTTTATAAAATGTATAATCATTTAGGTTGTAATTTTAAAAATTATTATTAAAACTTTCTCAATTATAATAGAAATTATTATTAATTATCTAATTTTTTAAAGTAGATAGATAACATTTTAAATTAAAAAATTTCATAATATACAAATTTTATTCGTAAATGAAACTATTATTAACTATAAGTAATAATATTTTAAGTTGAATAAATTAGGTTTAAATATCACATTACTCCCTAAATTATACCATTTATATCGAATTACATTTTAAAGTAATTTTCAAAACGCTTGTTTTTATTATAAATTGTTACATCGATTGACCCAAATCATTATTTCTTTTAAAAAATAAATTCTCACACAATCAGATTACTACACATTTAATTTTGATTTATTTTATATGAAAAAATTAAAATTATATAATATGTCAAAAATGGCCCCTCCTTCTTCTTCTCCCCCTCCACATTGCACTCCTTTCTGCAGAACCAACACTCCTCTTTTCCTTTTCTCCATTTTGTATCCTAATCTCTCCCAAACTTTCTTACCCTCTCCATCGCTCCTTCCAACTCCATCAATGTCCAAAAAGGTTATATCTTTATTAATCTGCCTTTGATTCCAAATTTCAGTCCAAAAACCCCGATAGTTTTGTGAAGCTCGGGAGCCAATTGAGGAAGAAAACATGGGGTAATGATTTAACCCTCTCCATTTTGTTTGTGAAGCTTCAGACAGGGAGAACTCCTTCAGCGGTCGATTTGGCTTTTCCACTTCTAGTTTTGTTTCGAGCGATAGATTTTCCGATGAGTTTGTGGAGAATCGGGATTACACAGCTGAGATTCCCGATGAGTGTTTAGCTTATGTTTTTCAATTCCTCGGTCCCGGAGATCGGAACCTTTGTTCGCTCGTATGTAAGCGGTGGCTTTGCGTTGACGGTTGGAGCCGCCACCGCTTGTCTCTCAACGCCCAATCTGAGATCGTCGCTTCTTTGGACTGTTTTCTCAGAGAAAAGAAGAAGAAAGATCAGATTTGGGGAAAATGTTGATTCAGATGGGAAATTATAAGGCAAAAAAAGAAAAAAAAAGTTGAAATGTAGGGTTCATGAATTTGGCCCCGTCAAAGGGGGGAATGCTTCTCCTCGTCGCAAGAAGAAAAAAAGGATGGTGGTGCAAGGGAAAGGGAGAGTGCACGGTGGAGGGCGAGAAAAAGAAGCAGGGGCATTTTGACATATTATATAATTTTAATTTTTAATTGATTTTCATTTCTTTATATAAAATAAATTAAAATTAAACAATGTTGTGACGTGTTTTGATTAGTATGAGAAATAAGGGGTAAAATGTCCGGAAAAATCATTTAAGGGAAGTATCCGTCTAAACATGTTTTGATTTGAGAGAATCTTTTGACTTGTTTCTTTCATAAATAGGGTATATATATACACATACATATACAAATTTACAATAAGAGTGATACACAAAAATTATAGTTACATTGCTAATTCAATGAATGCTTAGTTTTCTCAATCCCTCAGGAACCATTGTTCTAACACGAGACAATGAAAACATTACTTAGATAGCTAAAAGACTGAAAGAATTCAGATATATCAAGCAACGTCATCATATCCCTCTGCAACATCTTCAAAAATCGTTTCCAAACCAGGAGAACTTGAAGGCTTTTCTGGGTAAATGATGGGAGCCGGAGCTACTTCCATCCAATAACTTCTTTGCCCGCTTTTCTTTGCCATTTTTTTTTTTTTGAAGGATTCAATGAAGAGTCAAATTCTGATATTTTGTTGATGTTAACAAAGGGTTAAAACAATGGGAAATACCTCTCTTCCTTCTGTTCCAAGAAAGAAGAGAGATGTTATAAAACCTGGGGAGGACTTCCAAAAAAGAACCTTTTGGTTCTAAGAAATCAATTGAGATTGGTGAAGACCACAACTCCAAAAGAGGTTTAAATGGTGAGCTTAAACAAACATTCACCGACATGGTTTTCGACTGATCTAAAGAGAGGATTGAAATCCGGGGAAGCAATGAATTTTTTTCACTAAAATTAGTATTCTGTTCTATCAGGTGAATAACAAACGTTGATTCCAGGGTAATTTCTAGCATTCAAAATGCTAGAAATAGAAAATGAATTCCAAGACCAGCCATGAAAAGGGTTTACTGAAAATGTAAAGAATCTAAGCGTCAACAGAATACTACGTATAATCCATTGATTTAAAGACAAATACCACTTAGATTATCACATCCAAAAAGAATCCACTGTTATTAATGCGACTGAAACAATTAAATCAGCGACTACTTTAACCAATCAACAAATGGCAAAATGCTACGGAAGCAGACGATGAACAAGAGAAAATCCAAAGCTGTAACTAAAAAATCCCATCACAAATTCAATAATTTCATCAAACATAGAAGCAAATTTGGAAATGCATTCATCAACCCCAATATTTCATTCAAGCATTCGTTCCACAATGAGCAAAACCACCTAAACAGTAGAAAATGATTTAATGAGCAGATATGAGTTTGATTAAATAGCTCGCTGAAAAGCATGTTAGCTGACAATCTAAGCATGAATAAAATATCAAATTGAAACTATTGACCCAAAGCATCAACACCCCTGGGCAAAGTCTAACTCATTAATTGCTTGAACTAATCTTCAACAAATGGCACAGTGCTTGAACTAATCATCAACAATCTATCGAAACAGTCTATAGGCTGATTCAATGTTACTGAAACAAAATCAAACTCAGTAATTGCTTGAACTAATCATCAACAAATGGCGAAGTGCTATCAAAACATAATATAATCAGGAGGAAATCCAATGCTTTAACTCAAGAATCCCATCACACATTCAGTAATTTCATCAAAAACAGAAGAAAATTAAGTGCATCTGAAAATGGCTTCAATCTAAATCGATATTTCATCCCAGTATTGAACTTCCACAATAAGCAAAATCACCAAAACAAAAACTTAAATCATAGGTATCTTTATTCGGAATATATTAAATCCACCACCTACAGAAAATTCTTGAGCATATGAAACCCCTGGGGAACTCGATCATTATCATATGTTAAACAACCACCCAAAAAAAACATGAACTTTATCTTTGTTCACTCCAAGGGAACATCGATATCCCCATCAGAAATCTCCTGCTGCAGGTCTTTAGGGTCTTTCTCATCAACCGTGCACCCAACAGAGACACAAGTTCCCAAGATCTCCTTCACGGTTCCTCTCAGATCCTTAGCCATGGATCTAGGCCTCATGACTCTGGCAATCTCGATCACATCATCAAGGCTAATATTCCCATTATGCTTGATATTCTTCGTCTTCTTACGATCCCTTTCAGGCTCTTTCAAAGCCTTGATGACCAGAGCGGCGGCGGAGGGGACTACGGTGACTTTGGCTTGACGGTTCTGGACGGTAAGCTTGACGGTAACACGTAATCCCTTCCAGTCCTTGGCGGTTTCTTTGGCAATGTCTTCGCCAATTTTCTTGGGGGAGAGACCCAAAGGACCGATCTTGGGCGCGAGGGAACTGGCAGCTCCGACTTCACCTCCGGTAACTCGAACGAAGACGTCGACGACTTGGGTCGGGTCGAACTTCGGCGGCATGTTTAGGGTTTGGAATTTGAGAGGTTAGTTAGAGAGCAAAGAGTGTGAATTTGTGCGGCGGCGACGTGGAAATGAGCAGTGTTGGAGTTTAAAGAGGTGGAAAATTAGGGGTTTGGGGTTTGAGAAATTTTGGGCTTTAGAAATAACGATAATAGTCCAGAGAGTTTGGGAAATCTCTACGCCTCTTATTTGCCCATTGGGATGCTTATTCTAAAAATTGACTTTTACCTCATGCCAGGGATGAAGTAACGTAACATGGAGTTCTATCATCCATTTAAAAAAATTAGATCCTAAATTATTATTAGGGAAAATTATATAAATAGTCTCTAAACTTTAGAATATTTGCATTTTGATCACCCAACTTTTGAAACTTGCAATACAGTAATCGAACTTTTAGTTCGTTTTCAGTAAGATTCTGTTGTTATCTCCCATTAGTTTTTGCTGACGTGACACTTAACTCCGTTAACTCCCCTCATTCTCCTCATCCTTATTCTTCTTCACACACATAAAAATGACTTTTGTTAACCCCACCTCCATTTGAGATATTATTTGAGGCTCACTCCTTCCATCTCGAGTCTCGACAAAGTGTTGTCTGGAATACTTCATTTTATCTGTAATCCCCTAGACTTGGCCTGAGAGTTACGACCGAATCTAAGCTATCACCTGTCGTAATAGAAGTCATTTTCATATTTAAAACATAGTCCAAATCTATTTCATTAAATAAAACTCATGAAATGGTAAAATACTGAAATAACCATTAGAAAAAATCCATACGATAAATATACAGAGATATCGGTGTCGGAAAACAAAATATTAGTAATACATATATGTGAAGAAAGTGGTAAAAATATGTGTCACCAAAGTATAACAAAAAAGACATACAAAAATATACAGTGGTACAAAACTGAGGAGAGATCGGTCTTCTTGATGTCGAGTCTTCTAGCCTACTGTCGCTTACTATCTGAAAAGTTAAAAATTAAATAATGAGCTAAAAACCCCAATATGCTCCTTGCAATGTATAAAAACATACAAATAAAATACTTCGGTAAAAGTTAAGTATAAAATAGGTTTTGAAAACATGAACTCTACTCCCTTCTTGACACCAGAATGTGTATGTTCCCTTGAACCATACACCTACATGTACACCCAATAAGGACCTTATATTGATAGCATAAATGCCTACGGTAAGGACTTGCCCTGTACACAAAGAAGAGGAATATGTGGTAAGGACTAACCCTGTGCACAAAGCAAAGATGCCTACGATAAAGTCTTACAAGTCATAGACTAAGCCTGAAATACTTCCTCCAAGCATACCCCCAATAATAGTAAATATGCATGTATTTGAGTGAAAAAGTATTTTAATTTATTAAAACATTAAAACATGTCATATTCTATAATCAGATATAGAAATATGGTAGCCAGAGATCATGTCAGAAATATATGCAAATCAGATATAATGCAATCATAGTATTTAATATAATCAAAATTTTAAAACAGTTCAAGCAGATAGTCCAAAACAGTACTATAACACCAATAGGAACACACTTGTACCAGTTTGAGAAGTCGGGTACGATAGCCTACTCTCGGGTCTGCTTATCACGATTGGCGATAACTTTAGATCCTACGAGTCAGAAAAATGTATTAAAATCCTAAAATAGTAAATAATAAAATTTAATTCAACTATTTACAAAAACCTACGAGTAGCTCTCAAAGAACGTAGACTGTACGGATTTGTTGGACGAAAAACGTTGGACCTAGTAGGCCATCGGTCAAGGGAATCATGAGTACCTTTATAAAAATATAATCTTAGATTAATTCCATAATCAATTCCCAAATAAAAATGCAGAAATACTAAAAATACTAAGCAACTTTGGTTTAATGGGCTCGATTCGAGGCTTTCAGGTTAGAATTTGGTGAAATAGACCGTAAAATTAGACCCAAGACATCGAAAAATGTCAAGAGGGAGGTTTTTCAGGAAAAAAAAGTCAACACCGGTCAATGGTCAAAGTCAACGCCAGTTAACAGTCAATGACGATGGTCAACGGTGGCAGTCAATGGTCAACTGCTCAGCTAGGCTCGAATCGACTCAATTCGATTTGATCGATTCAATTCAATTTGATCGTTTCAATTCGGTTCGCTTAGGCCTGTCTGATTTGGTTTGGGTTTTGGGCCAGACAAGAATACAGGTCGGGTCAGATACGATTACGAATTGGGTAGCTGGTTTGAATCGGGTTGACATGCTTCTAAAAGCCCACCAGGGTTGTAGAAAAGCCTCACGAGTAGCGGCGTCGTGCGTGGTGGCTTCCGGCTACATAAAAATTACCAAAATTTTTTAAAATTATTTTAAGCGTTTTGAGACACTTACCAAGCTCGGTTCACAACGATGAATGACGAAGAGCTTGATTATGCTACGTCAGAAAATATCGATTGCTCACCCCTCCACACACCGTGACAGAGACATAAAAAGGATAACCGTTTGACTCGGAATGACACTAGGAACACGATGAGATGAACGATGTAACTATCAGAGCTACTTTCGGCGATGAAACATCGTTTGAACTTTCTTGGAGTTGAAATGCTAAAATGGAAGGTTTAGAGAGAGAAGATAGGTTTCCCAAATAGGGCAAGTTTCTAGTTTTAGGGTGCCTTTAAACCCAACTTAAATAAAATGGAAAAATCATGCCATAAGACTTCAAGTGTTTCAAAATTCATGAATTTTCCCCGAATTAAATGAAAACTTCATTTTTTCATCAAATTTATTTTAAATTCATTTTACTCCTCAAAATTAATGTAACATCCCAAAGATCGGGTTAGTGACTAAAATGAGAACTTTAAAAAATTTAGGGATCAATATAGGAAAAATTAAAAAGTTTAAGGACTTAATTAGGAATATTTCAGTGTTGGATTAAATTATAATTATGGAAAGAGAGAAGGGCATTATGGTAATTTTAGTTCAAAAATTTTTTTCCCTTATATAAAAGTGAAACACGTGGGGGGGAGTTATCTGGAAGACTCTTCTTCTTCTTGCTTTCCTCTTCTTCACGTGGGCTTTAGCTATAAGGTAAGTTGGATTTTATTATTGATTTCTTGAATTTTCAAGGGGGTTTTGATTATTTGGGTGTTATATAAGCTTAAGGAAAGCTTATATAAGCTTAAAACATCAAGAAGAGAGAATTAGAAAGGAATTTCTATTAAGAGTTTAGAAATGAACTTTTGATATAGAAAGGTTTTTGAAGTTCTGATGATGAATTTGACTTGTCAAGAGTTTAATTAAGAAGTTAGAGGTAATATAAATGAATTTAGAACACATGGAAAAATTGGTGAAATTCTTTGATTCAAGAATTTTGGTTAATTATGAAAGATAATAAAGTGTTATGAGGTTTAAAGAAGGTTTGCATGTATATGGATGAGTTTTAAGGCATAAGAAAAAGTTAACAAGTAGAATTTGGAGGTAAGTGTTTAATTTTCGGGCTTGAAAATGGAAATCTGAGCTAAGGGGTATCAATACTTGTTGAGTATGTACCGATACCTCAAGACAATTTATGAAGAACTGATTCATAGGGTATCGATACTTATATGAACAATATCGGTATCATATGGAAGATGTATCGATACCTATGTGGAGGGTATCGATACCTGGGAAATTTTGAAGTTAATATTGGTATCGGTACCTGGGTGGGGTATCAATACCCTAGCATAAAGGTATCAGTACCTTGAGGATGATACCGATACCACTTAAGTTGAAATGTTGGAATTGAAGTTTTACTTGGGTTTGTATTAAAATGGATCGTACCAAGTAATCCGAATATCGACACTAATTAAATTTCGTACTCGTGTAGATATTGATCGGAAGCAAAGTTCTGAAAGATCGTCAGAGTAAGATTCGTAAAAGAACAAAAGCTTGGTAATGTCCATTGAGACCCATGTGAGTACATGATGATGATAAGAGTAGGTTATGCTATGGAATTAAGACTTGTGATAAGTCTAATTCCTATATTAGGTTGCATGAGTATGTGAATATAAGTTTATAGGGATATGAGGTTTAGAGGTATTTTAGTCCACACATATGTTAAAGGTAAGTGCATTTTTATACGTGATATATGTGAATATGCCTAGTATGGATTACATGTATGAGATTTATATGAATATATAATAGCATGATTCGAAGCATGATTAGGATTGTGTACTATGTGAATGTGCTTTGCTTGCATTTCATGTTATGTGATATGTATTTATGTGATATGTGTTATATGATAATGATCTATGATACAATACAAGAATGTTACCTGAGTTATTTGATAATAAGTCATAAGATTGCATACATATGTAATATAAATTATAAGATAAGAAAATATGTGTTTATATGTATATGAGAAGATACAAGAACAAGAAACAAGTAAAGTGATATGTGAATATGAAATCATATGAAAACGTGACATGAGCTACGTGATGATATGTTATATAAATACAAGAACTTGTGATATGAAACTCCAAGTGAGTATTATATGATATATATGATATGAAGTCATGAGCTTATATGTGTATATGATATGAATATATGAAAGTGTGATAACAGAATAATAATGCCCATGTTATGTGTTATGAGAGCTAGGGGTAAAGTTGGCATGCCAAGAGTCGAGGGTTCTACGTGGTCCTTCGGGACATATGTGTTCTATGTGGTCCTTCGGGACATAGTGGTCATTCGGGACAAATTCCACGCGCCCATAGTAGGAATATTACGAGCTGTGGTGACAACATATGTGCACAACCTCTATGTACTCACATATCTTAAGTTCTCAAAAGTATACATGGGCTTTAAAGATAATAAATAACTTGTAATGATAATATGTGTGTTCTGTTGTGAAATGATATATGTGTTATATAATGCATATGAATATTAAGTTCATGATAATAATAATAAGTGCATATGTGTATTGGTTATATGTAATGATATGTGATTATGTATGATATGATAGTAGTAATAATTCATGCATTGTAGTTAATTAGAGTTTATGTTATATATTTATGTCAAGTATATGCTTATATGATAAAAAGAAATTAGGGATAATAAAATATGTAATGATAAGC